TGGGGAATTCTGGGAGTTGAAGTCCACATAGCTTAAAGTTGCCAAGGTTGAGAAACACTGCTTTAGATGTTTTAGTTTGCAGTCAACGCTGTCATTTGTGATTCAAACCGGAAACTAAGAGACACACAGCTGAGCTTCATAAACCTGTTCATAAAAGTGCAGAAATGTACTTTATATATACATCATGGCAATGCTTTATGGCAATAACGTTTTCGCCTGCTCTACTTAAATATCACTTAAAGTAATGAGCAGAGAGATGCAGCCATTTCCCTTGTCTGTGCTCCTCTATGTAGGAAAAATATTTCACGGTGGCCATCTAGTGGATATTGTTGGTATTACAAGGGCTTTGGACTTTATCATGCTTTCTCTTCCCTTTTTTTGCGTTATCACGATCTTTCTGTGATTCACACGGTTGTAAAATGGACTGCACCAATATGATTGCATCAGCCATATCAAAACATTGTGTACTGAAGCAAGGCCACTTCTCTAATGTGCATAGAATATGATCCCAGGACCACAACACTTCCCCAATCTAGAACTCTGCAGCCACTGGCAGTAGGAATCTCAGAATCTGTAGACAAAATAAGATTGTTAAATGATGAGCAGCTTGGTGGAAGAGGACGGAGAGAAAATTATCTTTCTTCCTCACGAAATTAATATTCAAGGCATATCCCCGAGTTCTATTAGTGCAGACAAAATAATTCTTTACAAAAAGACACATTTCATTTATAACATTGAATCTTCACTTTTAGAAAATCTCCACATATAGGAGATACATTGGCAGGCGGAGTGCTGGCTGGGGAATTCTGGGAGTTGAAGTCCAGGCATCTTAAAGTTGCCAAGGTTGAGAAACACTGATCTAAGGCATGCATCCTCATTTCCCCTTATCATTTTCACATGGGATCCAGCGGAAACCATTGTCACAGCAGGGGTTACATCTTTCATCAAAGAAGGACACTTAACAATTATGCAGCACCACAGTACAAAGATACAAATATGACTAGGGGTGTGTACAAACATTTTTTAAAAAATATTTTGTTCTGTGCACAGAATAGGTTGAATAAGATTCATATCCTAGACATACATGTGTAGGATTTGGGGTGCAAATCATACAAAGAGGCAAACATCTTTAGGCCATACAAGCTGTACCTCCCTTACATCTAGGATAGCCTTCAGGAGTCTGCCTAGGATCTGGACTCAGCTTCCTTGAAATGCAACATCTCAGATCTGTGAATATAATTGTTATATGAGATTAAAAGACAGTTATTGTATTATGATTTATCTTGTAGAAGAGAGTGCTCTTCAATGCCCAATTTTAGATCCAACATTATATAAATGTTTGGTTTCTTTTCATTTTCTGTTGGAGCTGTCTTCTGAATATTTACTTGCTTGCTTGCTTACAGGAGTTATATGGCTGCCTATCTCATACAATGACTCTAGGTGGCTCACAACAATCCATAAAAACATGGTTAAAAAGAAAATTACCGTTCCCCCCAGGTGCCAGACCAAACAGCCTCCAGCTAAACCCCCATCGTAGCTCAATGCTTGGAGGAAGAGCCAGGTCTTCACAACCCTCTGGAAGGCTAAAAGGGTGGGGATCCCTCAGATCTCAGGTGGGAGGCTCTTCCAAAGGGCTGGGGGGGGCACTTAGAAGGTATGCCTCTGAGGTCCCATCAGATGGCAACATTTAAGGAAAGAGACCTGGAGTGTGCCCACCCTGTCTAAC